CTTACGGAACACCTGTACATGCATGGCCTAGATTCTACCTGCTTCTAAGGACCCTGTTCTTTCTTCCCCTGCATGGGGCCTGTTGCCTAGTAGACATGCAATAAATCTTCACTGAATGAAAGTGGTTCAGATCCTCCCACATCTAGGATAATATTTTAAAGAAGTAGAACATAAGGAAAAAGTGCATCTCCACACTATTTGCAATTGTTCCAAATTGGAGACAACTTAAATGCTCCTGATAGGAGATGGGTTAAATAAAGTTCACACAATGGACTTCCTTAGCATCCTAACAGAAGTGCTGTCCATCTGAATGAAGGGCATTTGTGGTGAACCATTAGAAACAAAACTAGACTATTTGATATTAGATGACATTCTTTTATTTTATAGATAAAATTTTAAAATGAGTAAATGTGGAGACAGTGTCTATTCTATGTTAGAATAAATCAAAACATCCAGACTTGTTGCCACTGAGTCGATTCTGACTCTAGGGATCCTTATAGGACGTAGTAGAACTATCCCATAGGGTTTCCTAGAATGTAATCTGCTATGAGTTAGAACGGACTCGACAGCACTTAACAACAACAAGAACCATCTTTATGGAAGCAGATTTTTCTCCCATGGAGTTGTTGAGGGGTTCGAACCTCCAACTTTTTGGTTATCAACTGAGTGCTTAACCATCGGAAATACCCAGAGACTTCCAAACAGTATGAAAACTCATCGCCAACTCATTGAGTTGGTTCTGATTTATAACTTAGATCCTGTTGGTACTGTGGGTTAGGTGTTAGGCTGCTAACCACAAGACTGGCAACTTAAAACCAGTAGCCATCTCATTCCCTGATTTCAAAATTTACTAAATGGCTACAGTGGTCAAAACTTCTTGGTACTCATACAATAAAAGATTAATAGATCAATGGAACAGAATCGAGAATCCAGAAATGAACCCATTCACAAACAGCCAAAGATCACATACTGAATTTTGACAAAGGGCCAAAGTACATTGATTAGGGAAGAAATAATCTCTTCAACAGATGGTGCTGGCAGAACTGGAAATCGATATGCAAAAGATGGAGATAAGACCTTTACTTCACACCATATACAAAAAACAACTCAGCATGGATTAAAGGCCTAAATGTGAATCCCAGGATTATAAAGGTCATCAATGAAAAAATAGGGACCAATTTAAGGGCTTTAATACAGGGCGCACACACACACACACACACACACACACACACACACACACTACCAGACATTGTGAGAACTGTACAAATAAGAGAAGACAAAATGATGACTTGGACATACTAGAAATTAAAAACTATGTACATCAAAAGATTTCACCAAAAGGGTAAAAAGGGAGCTCATAAAGTGGGAAAAAAATCTTTTGTAAAGACATATCAGACAAGGGACTAATCTCTAAAACCTATAGGAAACTACAATACCTCTACAAGAAATAGACAAATAACCCAATTAAAAAATGGGCACAGGACATGAACAGACACTTCACCAAAGGAGACATTTGGGCAGCTAACAAATACAAGAAGAAATGTTCACGATCATTAGCCATTAGAGAGATGCGAATCAAAACAACAATGAGATATCATTTAACACCAGCAATAACAGTGAAATTCAAAAAAGCAGAGGATGATAAATGCTGGCGAGGATGTGGAGTGACTGGGACCCTCCTACATTGTTGATGGGAATGCAAAATGGTCCAACCACTATGGGAAATAGTATGGCGCTTTCTCAAAAAGTTGGAAATAGAAGTACCTTATGACCTAGCAATTCCTCTACTTGGTATATATCCACATGAAAGATGAGCCAAAACACGAGTAAACATAAGCACACCAGTGTTCATAGAAGCGCTATTCAAAATAGCAAAAAGATGGAGACAGCCTAAGTGCCCATCAGTGGAAGAATGGATAAACAAACTTTGGTATATACACACACTGGAATATTAAGCTACCTTGAAGAATACCAATGAAACTGCAAGCCACTGCATTGTTGTTGTTGTTGTTAAGTGCCATCGAGTCGGGTCCGACCCATAGCGACCCTGTACAGGGTTTCCGAGGGTGTAAGCCACTGCATAGCATAGATGAATGAACCTTGAGGACATAATGCTCAATGAAATTAGTCACAAAAGGACAAATACTGCATAAGACCATTATTGTAAAAGTTTAAGAAGAGAAGTATACTAAAAGGAAAAAATTCTTTGATGGTTACCATGGGTGGCAGGGACGGGACGGTAGAGCACATGTTAGGGGATAGACACATCATAGCTTAGGTGTTGGGGAGGGCAAGGCACAGGAATGGGAAAGAGGGTAAAGGAACAAGGAAGATAGGGAACACGTAAGTAGGTTTACAAGTTTACATGGGCTAAATAAGACAGAGGTAAATAGTGATGTATGCTCAAACACGGAACAACAGGGCTCTGTAATGCAGGGATCAAGCCATAGTATGAATGGGCAAAAAAGAAGGGAAATAATGTTAAGGTGCTTGACTGTCTTATGGACATTGGTTTCCCTTACCTACTACTGTAAAAAAGACAATTAAGTAGGAAAGAAAGGAATATTGGGAAGTATGATTACAGAAAGCTTGTAAAGCCCTTCTTTAGCCTATAACTGATTGGAATACCTAAAAGGGGTTCTAGAATTCTCCCAGTGAAACAGGCTTCTTGTTGAGCCTCTGTATTGTATGGGGCCTTAGTGAAATCCTGAGCCCCATCCAGAACCTCCTGAGGTAGGACATTCCCACTTGTATTCACCTGGGAGCCATCAAGGCTCTTCATTACAACCCCCCTTTCCAAGACTGAAACTCAAAGGGAACACGTGAGCAGGCTTGTAAGCTTGCTGGCGATGGGGGAAATGGGGGAAAAGCAGTAATGAAGAAATGGGCTCAGTTTGACCATGTTCCATAGACCTTGTCAACCTTGAGCTGAGAGAGAGGAGGAAGGGCTGGTTAGTTCCAAGTCGGGGGAGACTTGGGAATTCCTGAGCCCATGGATACAGACCTAGCCACTGGGGGCTAGAGCTGAGAGTGAAGCATCCAGCTGATATGAAGTTGGGGGAGGAATGCAAGAATGCCCAAACTTGCAGATAGTATCCATTTGACCTGGACTAGGGGAAGATAAAGAAGTTTGATACAGGAAACAAGTGTAAATTTGCTACAATTTGATGAACTTGACCTTTGCTTATGGATGTAGTTGCTCAAAATACCAACTGAGAGGGAAACAGTCTTCATTCACATCAAGGATTGAGCTTATCTCCTCTGTATAAAGGGTAGATAGGGATGGGCCACATGGACATTGGCTACCTAAAATGAGGGGGCAATAAAAGGGACAAAGTGATTGGCTTACAAGTTTTCAAGAGGGAGTTTAATTTCAGAGCGAGGGGGCAAAGGTAGAATCCCCATTAAATAGTTTTCATCTTGTCTAGACAGGTCTGGTGAAAGGAGATGGGGATAGGATTCTTTTGATTCAATAGTGAGTAATTGCTGTCATGACTAATTGAGATTGTCACAACTATAAAGGTAGAAGTTTTGTAACAAAAAGGAGTAGTTAATCCAACATTCCAGGAGCACTGGATCCTAGGACCATCAAGAGGGAAGAGCATGAACAGAACGTGGGACCCTATCCAGAGAAGCAGTGACACCAGAGATGGAGGCAGAGGTGATGGCATGGAGAGACGGAGCAGCTGAAGACTCTAGACTCATGGAAAGAGAAAGGCTGTGTGTGGTGGGCAGGAGGCTGGCTTGCAGAATGTGCCCTTCGGTTGTTTAAATGATGATATATTCCTGTGTGTTTCTATATAATATATACCAACAAAAAGAGGGTATAGAGGCAAATATT